TGTGGGGGTTTTCCCATAAAAAAAAGAAGTTCGGTGATGCCTCAGTTGTGAGACCCTGTGTGTTTTCCACATGGGCCCAGACCTTGTGTGCCATCAGGTTCTTGTCATTAATGTCTTTGCTTTGAGGGACTAATAGAGCAACATTACTTTCAGACGTAACATTATTTATTTAGTCGTTTTTAAACCCCAGCATTTTTTGTAAAATAACAGTATAATAGATTTTATTTAAGAGAAAGGGAATATACTAAAAAGTTGCCTGAGGTCCCTTAAAAAGCGTAGGGTAAGCTTATCAAGACTCTGCCCACCACCCCGTTACAGACCGTCGTTTAACTTAACCGGCTGCTGATAGCAGAGGCGTAGCAGAGGGGTGGAGAGAGGCTTTGTGGAGAAAACCTGCATCCCAAGGTCTTGTCTAGGAGTGGCAAAGGACCCTCCGTGGGTGCCCTTCCTTCCTCAGGACACACAGGACAGACAGGGGTGCTTTGTCCATTCTCTGCACCCTCGGCCCCGCTGCCCCCTCTCCGGGAGCTGCTTGCCATCCCCTTCCCCTCCTGCCCCTGGCTGCCTGGGGACTCCAGCAGAACGCATCCGGTGCTGCTGGGTGCTGCCATGGCCAGCCGCCAGCTCCTCGCATCTCCCCTGAAACCACAGTGGTGCAGCCCATCTGCTTTACTACCGCTGCCTGGGGCGGTGGCTGGGTTCGTTGTTCAATTACCTTAATGCCGTTTGAGTTTTACTCTGGTTGGAGCCCGTAAAAGCCCCAACTGCTAGGGCCTGCCTGGCTGCTGCTTAAAATGTTTCGTAGTCTCTGAAATGCTGTTGGCACTTGCACTCTGAAAAACAGAGATGAAATGACGTTTTTCTGTTCAACTGTGCTGTTTTTATGGCTTTAGAATCTCACCAGCAAATAAATTATGGCTTTATTTCTGGAAGTCGAGTTATTTTTATGTGCATCCTTTGGGCATAGAGAAGGTGCTAATAAGGAAGACTTTGAGGCCGAGGAGGAATTTTCTAGAAGTTGTTTTTCGAGCACAAAAAGGAGTCTGTTGTATGGGTCAGCAAATGGCCAGGTCCACTTGTCATGCTTGTCTGCAGGAGTTAAATTCTGACACATGCTGCTGCCAAACAAAGCAAGACATTAGCATTTTAAAACACATGCTAATGCTTACTGGTTAGTGCCCAGGCCCTAGCTTACAGAAGAACATTTTATGCTTTCTTGCATCTTTTCATATTTATGACTTAGATCGTTCTTTTGGTCCTAGATCAGTTCAGAAAATGTGAAATTAGATTTTCTTCTTCTAATTGCATTGATGATTGGTCCGCATGGTTAAGAACTGGCTGGCCTTTTCCACAGATTTCACCACCTGGGACCTCACCTGTGTTCAATAGGAGTACTGCCAAATAAAATCAAAGTTTGGGGCTAGAGCTGCTGTGTCAGCAGATAGCTGATTATTTCCTTCCAGACAGTATCAAACTAATCTCCAGCATGATGTTACAGATCACCATACTGCAGGGAGTGACACACAGTGAAAGAAAAATAAAGCCGAATTCTCTGCAGGAAACCTCACAGTAAGTCCTAACTTGCCTTATGGGGTTACCATGCATAGTTAAGCTGCTGCTGCTCTATCCTAGAGCTGGCTGATCTTCAGTGAGGAGAGAGAAAGAACTGTTTCAAACAGAGGTAAACATTTTTATTCTTTCTATAAAAGGAATACACAGAGACAAGCAGTCTAAACAGTTTGAGGCAATAGTAACAGTTTTCATATCTGCAGTTAAAATGTACACTCTGAAAGTACTACAGTTGTCCAGATTTATAGAAAAGATAAAATGGAAGTGAGTAAGAAAGAAGGAAAATAACAAAGGAAAATGCTACATTGAAATGTCACAATTAGTTATGTTTGTGTTTATGGAAAAATCTGAGATGCTCTCCGATAGCGTTTGTGTCTGTGTAGGAACTTCTCCTGAATGGCTGCGTGATTGGCTATTGGCAGAAGCCCTGTTCTGTGCGAGTGTGCTTTTTCTGACGATCGCTCTGTGCTTTTCACTTCCTGATTGCAGATGATTTGTGCCCAAGATGCATAGTTTCCTTCTTCTTTCATTAATTGGAGTGCTGAAAGGAAGGCACGCTGGGTGCAGACAGCAGCACTCCTGCCCCGCTGTGGCATCTCTGCCTGGAAAGGGCTGTTGCCAGAAGCTGTCTGTTGTGCTGTTCTGGGCTTTTCTGCCTCTGTTTTCTCTGCGTTCAGGCAAGTTTCAAGGAAGCCTTAAGTAGCAGTGAGATAGCTTGAGACAGATGCTGAGCAGATGGAGTGGGCTGGGTAGGTGAGTCCTAGCAGGATGGCAGTGGGGAGCAAACCAAGGAGTTGCTCAAGGATAAGGGGAGATCGTGTGCAGATGAAAATTGCCAAGGCTGGGAGAAGGCAAAGTCCTGGAAAAGAGAGGAGGAAATTGTGTGTGGGAGGAAAGAAGATGATGGCAAGAAAGTGCTGAGAATTGTTGAAGAAATAGTAAGAAATCCATCCTGTCCTTGTCCATTGGAGAGAGAGAGAGATGGACTGGTGAACCCTTGTCCTTGGAAAAGCAGAGACGTACACATAACCTGTCCTATAGGGTACCTAGGAGGTGTAAATTCATGCCTGAACTAGAGGCGCCAGCTGGTACAGGTCTGTGATAAGGTGCTTGCTTCAAAGACAAGTTTGATTTTGCTGTGCGTTCAAGAGCAAAAACTGATTCTACAGGGTAAAGGACTGTAAACGTATTTTCACGTGTCCTGCAGCATTGTTTCCCTTCCGCCCCTTAACCTTGCTTATAGCTTTGAGTCTCAGTGGGATTTCAAGTGATGCATCAGGTTAAGATATTCTTAATTTTTTCTTTACACATTTGTACGTATTTACACTATGACAAGTTTATTTAGGACCTTGAAAGTACAGATTTTGGGCAGACAGCTGTTTCTTTTCTGACCTATTCCAAGCTGGAAATTTATTTGATATCAGTATGGATTCAGGGTAGAGAATTTGAAGAAGTCCCATTATGTTATGTAAAAATAAAATCTTATACATATACTCTTCTAATCAGAGCAAAATTCTGAAGAATTAGAAAAACTGTAATTGCTTGAGATAATGGGAAATTATTTCACTTTTAGAGGTTGGGAAGACTATTCAGCACCAACATCTTTCAGCTTGAAACTGTTCTCAGTTTGAAATTGCAATTTATGTACATGGTCAGTGTGCCTGATGTAAAACATCCTTGTTGGTGAGAGTGCCCTTGTGCTGGCAAAAAGCTCACCGATGCTGGTAGGATCACATCTGGACAGAGCTGGTAGCAGAAGTTTATGCGTTTGTGTTTTCTGTAGTGGTCTAGACCTTTGGAGAAGAGCAGCTTTAAGCTGAATTGCATCTCACTTAAGGCAGAAAATACAGTTAAGATAAAACATGATGCACAGCTTGTAGAAGACAATTTTATTTTATCATGGAAACATTTAGCAGAGCTGAGATACTGTGCTGATGGGAGCTGTAGAAAAATCTGAGAGCTGACAGCGTAGAGTTTATTGCGTTAATTAGAAAGTGCTGCAGCATTAGTGAGAAAATGTATTTTGGGTTCAGCATTTTCTGTGCATTTTTTATCATGCCTTAAAGTGCTTCTTGGGTACTTTGGATGCCTAATTGGAGATGCCGTAGGTAGAAACCTGCACTATATGAAAATCAAGCCCTTCTCCCAGAAACGCGTTTCAAAATACTGATGGTGTGTTAAATGGGATCACATGGATTAATCTTTAAAAATGAGTAGCTAACAGACAGGTCTGATGTTTATGCTTATTCTGTTTTGTCTTTGTGTAGTGAGGTGGTTTTAGTAATAGAAACATTCTTGCATAGAAACAAATACTACAGACCCTCTGCTTCGCTCTACTTGCTGCTATGGTATTTTATATCAGATAACTTTTTTTTTTTAAATCACAATAGAAATGACCTTTTGTTTTTTCGTTACTTCATGTGGAATGGCCGGAGGGTATTCTCACACTGTAAAGGCAGTAAAGCTCACCGATGGATTTTCTAACAAAATCCTTGTGCACAGCTGCATAACATAAATCATTCCTTCCAATTTCGGAACGTTAAATGTTTGTGGTATGAAAGTTACCGCTGTTCTTGCCTGACTTTAACAAGGTTTGGGGTTTTTTGTTTGGCACAAACATTGTTGCTTTTCAGTTCTGTAATGGTGCTGCTCTTAGTCGTAACAGTTACACGGCTTGAGCGCGAGCGAGCGTAGGTTGGGCTGCCAAGATACTTGTGTTTTCGTAACAGTCAGCTCATATTTTACAAATACAGTGTGTGTTGTCCTTTACCTAAATTATTTATTTGTAAACCCAACGGGTGCATATATTGCCAAAAAAAAAGACTATAGCAAAAGAAAATTCAGCTAGGGGGGTAAGAGTTGTCTTCTGGGACTAAACCCATTATTTTTACTGACAAGTTTTGCCCTTTCCATGTGATGTTACAGTGCTAAGGGATCGCATTACAATGCTTCTGGAATGAATCGGCTTGCACTGCCTTAATTTCAAGTATGAAAGTGGGTATGAATAAGCACGGCCGCATCTGTTGCTGCTGAATTTCTTCCACTGCCGTAGCGCAGCATGGGCTGCTGCAGGTTTGTGTGCAGACCGGAGGTGCTCTGGCTGATCCCCAGGACATGGTAGCACAGCTGCAGGACCTTCCGAAGGTCAAAACCCATCGTGTTCTGGGGGAAGGCAGTTTGACCAAGTCCTGTCTTAATAATAAAGTCATAATGAATTGTATTTATAAAACCCGCTACCACTGAGGTAGTCCATAAGGACTGCGCCCTCTTCATGCGTAGTGCAAAAATTCAGGGTGAAAAAACAAGCAAAATGATATCCCAGACAGGGCAGGGAGCGTGCTGGGGGCTGGGGAGGGGCTGGGCACGTCTGTGCCAATTAAACTGCAAAATATCTCTCTTTCCACTAAGCTCTAATTTAAAGCTATTTCGACATGACTGTAGGTGGCAGAGATGGACTAAAGCAAGTATCTGAAGAAGGCAGATCGCTTATCCTAAGGAGAGGCAAAACAAAATCCTTTCCCAGCTTCAAGCTGGGTTTTGGAGGCCTTAAGGACTCTCAAGTGGAGATGCCACTCAGACCAAAATTCAAGCAACAGGTTCCCAGATCGCTTGATCTTTACACAACCTCATCATAAAACCTAGAAATTAGGGTTTTACTGGATGCAGCAAGTGGTTCCAGTGAGCAGGCAGTTGCAAACAGAAATGGATGCTGCGGTGAGAACAGGCTTCAAAGAGCAAGGCTGCCTGCCAGCCTGCCGGTATGGTTGTCTCATCATGTGGCCTTGTGGTGTAAGCAGTACTGAGTAGCTCCCACCAGCTCCGAGGCAGATAAGCACAGCATCTCGCAGAAAGTCTTGGTACCCTATAGCATCAGAACTGGCGCTGGTCAGAGTGGTGAAACAGTGGATCAGAGACAAAGTTTGCAACAGAGCCCTGAGCCAAAAATGTCAGATCAGTTGTCAGCAAGTCGTAATGGAGGCAAAACTTAGAATATACTGGGATTTTTTTTTTTTTTTTTAATTTGAGAATTAAAATTTAGGATTAGAAATATACTGGTACTTTTAATACATACTGACTTCTTCCAAGTAGAGCTTGTATTCAGTATGAAAAAAAACCCTTTGTTTTTCAGAATATTTCATAATATTTACATACTCTGATTTTATTGTAGTTGTTAATTGCTGTCCAGAAGAGAAAAAAGCTAATGGCAGAAATAAGACGAACAAAAGCTGATTTGTCGGCATATAAATTGAGATTAAAAAAAATCTTTCTACTGTAATTAAAAAGGGAACTTACAGATTATATACTAAAATAACATGCATCGCCCTCCCCCATGTTTTGTCTTCTGATCTGCATGTTTGCCATTTTGCAAATATTTCTATAGGTTTTATTCTATCTGGCTAAAGAAAATACTTTTCCATATTTTCAGTTTAAGTAAAGAGGAGGAACTTTTAACAAGTTGTTCTATGCTGTCATAGAAAAAATAATTTTAGAACCTAGGTACAATATTTATCTTAATAAATCTGCAAGTGCTTCTGCAGGGTTATTTCTGTGTTAAAATGTTTCTAACACAACATTAAGATTTGTCATTTTTCTTTCAGATACTGATGAATACAGACCACCTGTTTGGAAATCTTACTGTAAGTATCTCAACAGTTTTTTGGTTTTGTTTTGGTTTTTTTTTTTCAAGTCAGACCTGAAAAAGTTTCAATTGAGTGCTTTAAAAGACTCATTTTTCTTTTCATTAGAATGTGATTTTAAGAAGCATTAAAAGTGAAAGCGTTCATTACTATTTAGAGGTAGGTGCTGTTGTTTATCCTCATGGACAAGTGAATGCAGATTATTTGGAGGGGTAGATTCTCTGCACCTTACTAACATAAGCAGTCCCACTCCTATGTGGTACTGGCTTATATTGGTTAGGCTGCCTAGACTGGGGCTTGCATGAGCTCGATTCATCCCTTGAAGTTAATGTCACTTGCACCCTTTTAGGGCTCCGGTGCTTTAAATACCTTGCATCGCTAGAGCTGAGACTTGAGCTGGTTAGAAAAAACTCAAAATAAATAGTTTTCCCCGCAATTGACTGATATAGTGAAACAAGAGCATCTGTTTGGCCTGGTGTGACAAATCACAAGCAGGTTTTTTTAAAGCCCTGACTAGAAGGACCTGGTGTCCTACCAGCCTACCTGGGCTCCACAGCTCTTCGATGTACATGCCCTATCCCAGGGGAAGGTGGCCTTGCAGGCTGCTGCGGTCAGATGTGGGGGGCAGTAGTCCAGGTGTGTTGCCCTGAGATCAGAGCACTGCACCCTTGGGAGTTTCATAACTTGCTGGTTTTCATTCCTAATTAAAAAACAAACAAACAAAAACCAAACCAAACAAGAACCACCACCAAACGTACATGGGAATTTTTTGTGTTTCGAAATTTAAAGGGATAACCTGTTGTTTGGAAGCACTGATGAAGATTCAGGGAGATTGAAGAGAATGTGTGAGACAAATGGCGCTGTAGCGAAGTGCTGTATCTTCCACAGTATCTCACTTCTAAATTCTAGTTCCTTGTAGATAGAAGAGTTAAGGTGTGAGACATCTTGAGACTTGAGGAACCACAGCAACAAAGAACCCTCTTCTGTTAAAAGCAGATTTTGAAAGCAGAATGTTTGTGTGTTTAACACACTTAACAGTTTAGGGATGTCAAACCTATATTTGCATTTTCTTTTGTATATGTTCTCAAGGCTTGATGTCTTCAGGCTGGCTAAAGAGATTTGCTTAAGCAACATATCACATGATGAAAATGTGGCACTCTAAAGTTTGGGGAGATTTAGCATCTGGTGTAATGTAGTTGTTTCAAAAACATTTCCATCCTACAGTGGGAGATTCTTTACAGGACATGGCAAAACTGCACGTGCCTTAACAGTTTAGGAATGTCAGGGTCTCTTAAAATTCAGTATGTTCATTGAAGAAAATAGAAAGGCAGCAAGTCTAAAAAGAGGCTGAAGACTTTTAGTTTGTCCATGTTAAGTGTTTTCTTTAGATGGATGACTTTGCACGGTTTTTAATAATTGCCAACATATGCAATTGCTGAGATGGGTGGGACCTTGGTCTGTTTGTGAATCTGGTGGCAAAGCCTGTCTGTGCCTTTGCAATCATCACTTATTATGCCAGTAGCTTGTCGTATGCCAAGCCGGCCACGTAATATTGAAGAATTTGCACACAGAATGATTTGAACCAGCTTTTTTCTTGCAGTGGGGGGGCTAAAAGATAAAACTGAGACGCTGTACTCCTTGGTATTAAACATTGTTAGTCATGATCGCAAGGCTTGTTACTGACACCTGTGTATTTTCCTCCCAGTTGTAAGCATTAACAGTGAATCACAGCTCTGTACCTTCTGTGACCTTGGGGAACGCTGCCTCTTTGTTCGCTTTATTCCATGCCATAATCTATAACGGGGGGGTCCAACGTCTCTAATGCCAAATCTTCGTTGGCAGCTTGCCAGGAGCTGAAGGCTTGGGCGCGTGCCACTGTGTGTGCACCCACTACACCATCGCAGTTCGCCGTGGCGAACCCTTCCCATGGTTCAGAATTAAGCATGGAGTCATGGGGTCTGATTATATTTCTGTCTTATGATGGATCAAGAGGAATGTCTTGTTTGACTTCCTTGGCAATAATTACAGCAAGGAAACTGGTGTTGAGCAGTTTGAATTGCATACATCAATTAGAAGAGGAGGAATAGACGTCCCGTTTTGTAACTTAACTAGTCTACCTGCTGTGCTCCTGACTGGAAGAGGAGAAAGGTACTGCCTTTGGCGAAGAGGAATTTCCTTCCAGAAAATCTTTTCAGCCTGACTTGAAGTAAGGTGGGAAAAAGTTCTCAGATTTTAGCCACTTTCTGCAGAGCATGCTGATTGTGAGTCTTCACTGCTTTTCTGTGAAATTCAGATAAATCCGTATTTGCTTTCTGATTTTTTTTTTCTTTTTTTTTTTTGAACTTGGCTCTGCAGTTCTCAGAATTAGATATGGACATGGCCCAGTGCCATTGAATACAACTTTTACAATGGAAATGAGAGAATCTGTGTGCTGGCAAAATAAATGATCATGCTATGCTTGAAATTAAAACTGATGTTTTATATACTAGTGTGCTGGTCTTCATCACTTGCAAAAATCATTTTTGTAATACCAGTACAGAATGGTGAGGATTGATTTTTAGTAACATCAGGAAAAAACATTAGGTTTTTTGTTTGGAACAAAGGGAGTGAATTTTTCCAGCTTATGTTATGATTGCCGTATCATCGGGCATCTTGCCATTTTCTCCATTCCCATGTAACTTAGCACATAAGTACAGCATTTGTCGGTGGAAAAGGCTTGTGATCAAATGAGAAATGTAATGAAGTTGAATCTTATTGGTTAAATCAATGTATGATCTTATTACCTGAAGAAGGTGACAGCATGTTATTAGACCTTGGTGTTAGTACTTATGATTGAAACATAATCCAATTTTAAAAGATTACAATTCCAATGTCCATTTTATCAGTTCTAGAGTACTATTCAACTACTAACTTAGTGTTGACAGCCTCATTTTGAAGGTGACTTGCCAAACCAAACTCTCTTTGGGATGGAAGTTGAAAGTCACTGCTTTGGTATTATATTAGAAAATCTGCACATTAGAACCATTACATTTACAACTGGCTCCTAAGATTTATTCTGACTTGAGGGGAAGGAAGGATGCTAGTAAGTGTATGTCATAATTTGGGCCTTGACTGTTTTACTCTGCTGCTCAACTCCTGATGTCTTGAGATCTGCAAACGCCAAAGCTGTTTTTCTCTTTGTTCAGAAAGGTCATCACCAAGCAGTGGCAAAAGTAGAGGGTTTGATTCTGCACAGTTCTGAACAGTTCTTGTAAAGCCTCAACACATTTCGGGTGACTGAGTGTGTGCCCAGTGTAGTAGGATAAGACTCCATCTGCTTACTGAAGAAAGTCTGAAAGCAGCCTGGTTTGACATATAATAAAATTTAATTTGCATTTATCGTGATTCCTTTTCTGATCTACTTGATGGAAACTTCACTAGTCTCACCTAGTTACTCCCTAGTACTTGATCAATTAATTGTAAAGATAATCAATAATTCTGTTTTGGCTAACAACATTCTTTTTTCTGACCACTTGTAAGTAATCTTTGAGACCTTGATATATGTATCCTTGCATTAAATCTTGCAGAATGTTTTCTTTATTTAAACAGCAATATTTAATCTTAAAATGCCTAAATTATACAATGATCCTGTATTAATCAGAATTTAACTTCTGCCTTCTCCCAGTGTATCAGTTGCAACAGGAAGCTCCCCATCCTAGAAGGATAACCTGCACTCGTGAGGTGAGTATTAATAAAGGTGCAGTTTTATACAGTCCAGTAATTCCCAGTCTATACTTCATGGTATCCGAGTGGTTCCTTGGGACACTTGGTGCTGTGATTAGAGTAAGTAGCCTTGGAGGCATTGGTAGCTGGAAATCCATTTGATCTAAAAATCAAATTAAAAGGCGTTTTGAGTATGATGTGTATACGTGAGAATCATTTACCATTTTTTTGATTTTTAGATACATGGAAACAGGCCTTTTCTCCTCCTTTTTGGGTCAGAAATTCACAGAAGCAATTGCAGAGCTGTACAGGGGAACTATGCACCTGTCTGTACACACATCGCTGCGAGATGTGTGCAGTAAATCAACAGAGGGAAGACTGAAACCTCCCCTGGTGCCGTTACTTGAGTCGTAGTACTGTGCAGAGACACGGGTTTTAAGGATCCAAACTAACAACAGGAATTCCATTAATATACGGTGATACAGAAGCACCTGCTCGTGGGGTCAGTCGTTGAGGCAGACCCCACATTGCTAGTGTGCCCTGAGCTGCCCTCCAGCAGAGCAGCACCTGTGCCGAGCTGTGGTGCTGGAGGGTTTCACCGATACCAAACACCCGTGCCAGCAAGGCTTTATTCATAACTGCATCTCTCTTGCAGCTTTAGTTAGGAACCTGGGAAACATTAATTTCCATTTCAAAAATGCTGAAATGTTAGGCTTGACTTGTTGAGCAGTATTACAAAACAGCTCTTAGTGAATAACCACTGAAAGTTATTACATTGCTGCAATAAAAGTTAGGCATTTTTATCCTGTGCCAAGAGAAAGGAAATGAATCTTTGAAATATGTTAAGTCACTTCAATGCGGTATTAAATACAGAGGGATGTAGGACTGTCAGGAACATTAATAGCTTACAGTGTAGGTCACAAAGGATTACTTTACAGAACTAAACAGGCGTTTTGCTGTCGTCTGTTCAAATGCCCAGTTGTGATTCTGCGAAGTAGGCAGTCAATTTTTAAGATAAAATGTAGGGGTTTAACAGAAGTTAAACGTTGCGTTTTGTGGAAGTGCTCGTCTTTTCTTTTGTTAATTCAATACATTTGTATTTTTGTAAAAGGTATAGCTATAGCTGATTGCATTTCAGCGGGACAGAGCTATAGGAAAGAACAATACATGAATTTTACAAGAAGCATCGTAGCAAAAAGTTTTGTTTTAACCAGTGTTTCCACTGCTAATGAGGGTCCAAGCAGGGGTATTCTTGTTAAGATTGTTGTTGTTGCCACAGTTCAACTTGACCGGACACTAAATGCCACACAGCTGCTCGCTCACCCTCCCCCACTCCTGGGGAACGAGGAAGAGCATTAAAGGGGAAAAGGGGAGGAGACTGATGGGTTAGGATAAGAACAATTTAATAATAACACAAAATTAAAAGTAATTATGATAAAATAATATATGGAAAAATTTTATGGTAATCATATATACAAACAAGTGATGCACAGTATAATTGCTCACCACCTGGTGACCAAAGCCTGTCCCATCCTGGCAGGCGATTCCAAAACAGATGAATTGCGACACCGCAATCCCAGACGAATGCAAGTCCTGAAAAGAGAGAGAGAAAGAACTCTGAGAGTCCAAGAGAATTCCCTCAAAGAGAGATTCCAACTTCCTGGTCAACCCTCATGTATGTACTGGCCATGACATTACATGATATGGAATGCTCCATTGGCCAATTTGGCCCTCAGTCCTAAATCTAAGTTCAAATCATAAGGGAAATTGTGGGCCCGTTGTCCCAGCCATGCTCCCCCCAGCCTGTTGTGCTCCTGCACACTGGCAAAAACACGGGAAGCTGAAATGTCCTTGATGTCTCAGCACCAACTATAAATGTCGGTGTGCTATCAACATTCTTCTCATAACAAATCCCATACTAAATCCAGAACACTAGCTACTAAAAAGAAACACTGACTCTGTCCCAGCCAAAACCAGGACAGTTGTGGAGATATCTTATGTATATTAGGTAAGATGGGATGGAGATTTGAAGGAGACATCTATAGAAGATAGGATCTGAGCTGTGAAATAATGGGAGATTTTCTGGGTTTTTATTCCCATTGCAACATTATTAGGAAGGTTCTCTTTTATTTTTTGTGTTCTTTATGATAGAATTTTTCATTACATTAATACACAAGGTATCTGAAGTCTTGTAGGAACTTATTCTTGTAATACAGGTTTGTGATTGTACAGAGATTGTACAGAGTGCTCACCTGGATAAGGTGAAGTGGTTTACTCCCTGCCTCCAATGGACTGTGTTTATTGTCGTTAAGTGCTATTGAATAGTTACTTTCTAGGAGAGGAAGGAAAAAGTATTTCACTGGTGGAAGAAGTGCTAGTATGTATTTAGGTATATGTATATACACATACTGGAAAATGTATGAGGGATTTTTGGGAACCTTCTGACCCTGTTTGTTGAGGTGCTGATGTTATGCCTATACAATCACTGTAGTCTTTTATTTGCTGAGTCTTATCTCAGAGCCCTCCTATTGTTTACTTAGGTAATTACAGACTTTCTTATTGTATATGTTTATAAAGTTGTCTACCTCTTGTGGTGATGAGCGACAATTCTTCAGTTTCTTCAGTTAAGTTCTTTGAGAGCTGCAGTTTTGAATGTCTTAATTCTTACAGAACTAGAACCTTCGTTTTTCTGTATACTTTTTGTTTTCTTTAAAAAACAAAAAAAAACACCCCCCCCTCCCCATAATAGAAATGTAAGGAGTGGGAAAGCACCAGCATAGTTAAGGAAATCTTACAGCAGATAACGTAGTGATTGTAATTGTTTTGCATGTCGACTGCACAATGCATACGTACCCTGTAGTCAGAGAGAAACTCCAGCATATTCAGTAAGATCTGTTGACGTTATATCCCATGCTAGTTTGACTGCAGAGAAGTGTTTTGGAGTCTTTTTGCCCTAGGTGGTAAGAATTCACAAGCAAATTTTGTACTCGGTTCTCCTTCATAGTATTTCTTAGGATACTGTTAGCCTATCCAGTCCAATCAGTAGAGATATAAATGTCTATATAGTATCTGAAAATTAAAAATGTCTCCTGCCTCTGGAGTGCTGGAAGTCCTTCAGCTATTGATCAGATCCAGATTGCCTTCTTTTTAGAATCAAGCAAGAGACCTACTCTTGCCAGCCAAATATAAAAGCATCTGTGAAAGCTTCTTCCAATACAAATCACACTGACCGCTATAGTTTTTCATCCTTGTTATTACTAAATTTTAATATTGTTAATTAGAAAATTTTATTAGCTATTAGAGAGGTGGCAAATTGAAAAGTTGAACTGTTTTAGGGAGGAAAATTTGCTGTGGGTGAGTGATGTCCTGCATGAACTAATCATCCAAGCACTTCGGAGGGTATCTGAGCATACTGCATCCCTACATAGAGGGGTCTTCCTGGTCTAATTCTGTAACAAGTAGTCTGTTAGAGTCAATGGGGGATTGGCAAAAGTAGAACAAGCAATCAAAACACTCTTACTAAGCCCTGTCATCACTGAAGAAAGAAATGCAACACATTAGTGTCTATTATATCATATTTTTATGAATTTATTCCAAAACTAGATTACAGCATATGACGAACTTTAAGTAAATGTAAAACTTTCCTTGTGCCAGACGGAACAAAAAAAAGGAGAGAGACATTCTGTGTTTTAAAATAGCTTCATCTCAGCCCTTGAACTGCAGAGTAAACCTGTGTCTGCACCATGAACATTGTTATAGAAACTGAGAAATAAAATCTACAGTTTTTAGAAACTAGTGAGAATTAAACTAAATAAAATAGAGCTATGAAAGAATTGGTTAGTTGTAGGTATTTAGCAGCAGAGCAGAACATGTTAAATACGCAGAATACATTTACAAAAAAAAAAGCTCTTTGAAGCTTATTTTTACCTAATAAAGGTAAAAATGAAAGAACACATTATCAATGTGCATTTTCCTATTGCTGCATTAATACATTATAATGCAGGTAAGTGTTTTTCGTTATAAGTATTGAACAATTTATGCAGCTGAGCCAGATTTGAAGTGGAAATATATTCAGCGAGCGGTAACGTGTTGAACCTTTCTGGTCTCAGCCTCTCCTGCTAGCATTGAGCTTTGTGATCTGCTCTTTCTCAGCTGGATTTCTGTTAGCAGCTGTGCATGAGTCCGTGGGGAGCAGATTCTTTTCCTAAGTGATTAAATTATTCAGCTGTATAAACAAATTAATAAATATTAGGAAGAGAATTTTGTTCCAGAGAACATCAAAGAGGTCAGTGGGAGGGAACAACATGTAATTTGGTAAGATAGTAGCAGATGAATTGCTCCTCTTGCCTTATTGTGTTCCACTTGTTGACATAAGCAAGAGTGACATTGGGGAAAAAGCACTTGTTAAAGAATAATTGGAAATCACACCATAAAAAAAACAACCTTTCATTTAAGGTGCAAAGACACGTGTTGTACAAGTGCTGATGCCGAGAAGTGTGTTTGACAGAATGACCTACTTAACATGAAATGCTTCTCAAATGCAGAGAATTCGAGATTCTGCTCTGTTACACCAGTTTCATATCAGAGCAACACACAGATAGTGGAGTTACACTGAAGTTAAAAAAGGATTGCGGTCTTTTGAGATGTTTTTATTGTGAAGATGCAGCAGAGCCAAGGCTTTTAACTCCGTACGATGTTCATTTGTAAAATGAAGATGCAGCAGAGCCAAGGCTTTTAACTCTGTACAATGTTCATTTGTAAAGTTGATGATTCCATAACATTCTAAGGATGTTTGACTTCTACATGAGGCTTACATCCAAATTGTAATGTTCTTTGTCCATTAATATTGTATTACCTCCTTGGAATTTGTATTTGTTGTGCATTTGACTTCTACATGAGGCTTACATCCAAATTTGTCCATTAATATTGTATTACCTCCCTGGAATTTGTATTTGTTGTGCTTATAATCTTTTATATACACACGTGTGCACGTGCACATTTGGGCATATTTAGGGCATCCTCAACTGCTGTATGAAGGCACTCCGCAGTAAATTTTAAATAACTACATATGAAAAAAATCAAACAGGCAAATTATGGAGATAATTAAAATCACTGGCCTTTTCCATCCTATTACAAAGCTTCATCCTATTGCAGTGCTAGTAGTTAACAAGCCTGTTAAACAGCATTTCTATGTAGTCTTGTGAAAATAGTCTCTGCAAGTAGTCGGGAGACATTGCGTGGACTAGGCATATATAATGCATATCCATGTAAGAGCTCTTCTCAAAGATGGCTTTATCTGTGTGATATTCAACCAGAATGACTTCCCTTCTTTCATGGTAACTAAGCTCTTTTCCAAAGGAGTGGCTACTGCAAGGCACTTGCCAAGGCTGCTTCATTTGTCTGTTCATAAACTCGGTTTCGTTGGCTTCACACCTCAGTTTGAAAAAATCAGAAACAAATCAGTGGTGGATATCTCACTGACCTTTGTTTCTCGCAGGTATCATAGTGAGACCTGAATCTTTCCTGTGGCCTCTGCATCGGTGCTATGCAAATAAGCACTGAAAACAACTATCTCACAATTTTTTCTTTTTTTTTTCCCCTAAGTTAGAAGCCATTTTTAAAACTGTGCCAAGCATAGGTTAAGCAAACAGCAATAGGAATTTTTCCCATAAGTAAAAAGTCCTGAAAAGTCAAAAGACTTAGCATTCAGCTAACCTTTGCTGCATACAGGGAAAATGAAGTAACTAAGGCTGAATTTACTCATGCTCAGTGATACTTTGGTCCAAAGATATTGCCAAATCAGAAAGAAACTCTGCAGAGGATAATTACATTGTATTTTCAGCTAACAGCTTTAGTTAAAATGACCCTTTTCTTACTGCTGCTTTGATTTTATTTAAAAATCTATTTCCTTTCTTAGCTGGGTTTTTGTTCCAGTCCATATGGATGTTGTGTTTTTTTCTCCTTAACTTAAGGCTGACTGAGTGAAAGTTAGGTTAATGAAGCTTTGGAACTGAACTGGTTTGGCTTTCAGTGCTCACGTGCAAACTGGAGGACATGTGGGTGCCCGCAATTGTAATTTGTAGAAATGCAGTCTGGCAGGAACTTTGTGAAGTCCAGGCAGACACCAAAGACCAAGAAAGCTGCATGTCGCTTCTAGTTCTGGTGCAGCTAAGGATACCTAAAGCAAGAACAAATGCTATGCTGCCTTTTATTATAGAAAGCTGGACAACAGTGTTTACTGTCTGATGTGGTAAATTTGGCTTATGGGAAATCTGTGTATTTTAGTAAGTTCACACAGACTGCACTAAGTGTGTATGTAGCCCGGCTAATTCTGAGTGAATTAGAAGGCCCCTGCTGAGTTCTGATGGAGTTACCTTAGAGTCTAAATGTATGTATTCAATCAAGATGTCAAAACAACCCTGATAATATCATAAATTTAAAAAGTATGGGGGGAAAAAAAAAACAACCAAAAAACAGGCAATAAAACTCACTGAATTGGGGTTCCAGTTGCACTGAGTCTTACACAGTGTTACACATCAATGTTTATACTGAAGTTTTTTGCAAGTTGGCAAAACTCATCAGTAGAGACTCAACATTAACAGAAGTGGTTGTTTTCCTCTACCTCGTCATCCACCAAGATGAACTGCAAACCCAGCTACGATTGCCTGGAAGTCCAGTGGAGCTTTTCTCTGATGCTTCGTTCCAGTCATCTGCCAGTTCGTGTTTTCAGATGTCTGCGCACAGAGTGTAATATTATAATTTGTCTTAGGATTCACAAGTACTCTGAAAATGCCCTGTCACATTACTAATCCATTTCTTAAATGGAATGCTTTTGCGTATACAAATTTTCCATTTCTGTCATATAAATTCACTGTATTCACTGAAATAAAAATAAAATCTCAGAAGATAGACAACAAAATCTTTTTCATGACAGGATTCTGTTTTGAACCACTGCCCGAGACTATTGTCTTGTCTTGAGGATTGTAGTCAGGAATTGTTGCAAGTTTCTGTAATAAAACCAATAAAACCTTTTCATTTTTTTTCCATTCATGTTGCTATCTTCCTGTTGAAGAAATAGCCTACGTTTAACAAAAAATATGTAAGACTTTTTTTCTGTTTTGAAAGGATTGAGTCTCTTCAGGCCCTTTGAAAACAGTTACCGCACCGGTCAACTCTTGTTTGCTGTTATGTTGGAAAAGGAAATCTCTTAGAACGTTATAAATCTTTCCAGTGATAAAATGATTTTTCAAAAGTGATGAACCATCACAATAGCTTTTTATTTGCTGGGAATGTGGAAAAGTTGTTATTAGACTGTACACCAGGATGTATTTTTTGTTGTTTTGCACAGCTGAAATCTTTATTTATATTCCACTGAGATAATGGGAAAGAAGTGCTAATTTTAATAGGCTTTTTTTCCGAAAAGATGGAAAAAAGAAACTGAAGTGGCAGTTTACTCCGAGTATTTTGTGTTTTATTATAGCTGGATCACTTTATACTTTTGTAGTTCAGTTTGTATCAGTGTTGAATTTTAGTCCCCAAAGAGTTTCCTGTTTTAAATTTACCAAGGAGGGATAATCTGGAGGTTTAGATTATTGAGTTGATTGCTGGGAGGTCTGCAGTTCCTCACTTGTCTGTAAACTTCCTGGACAATTGCAGATGAGTTACTTCGTCTGAAACACTTAGCAGGCAAATTGTGTTCTGACACGCTTGCGTGGTGTGTGCATTTACAGCGTGCGGTCTCTAGAGCGCGGGCGGGCTGGTGTTACACAGCATAACGCGGCATACTTGTTGGTGAGGTCTTACAGGTGATGCTACAGACCGCACGGTTTAGTGAAGTCAAGAAGCACAAGACTTAGGCAGTTGCTAATGATCTTTTAATCTACCACTTGCCTTCCCTCTGAGGGGATATGGTTGTGGCTTGATTTCTCACAACAGTGGCACCAACGGCCCGATGATGGAAGATAACTTGTAAGTTTAAGAGTTTTATAGATGTTTCACTGTATTAGTGCACTTAACAATATAGTACACTTACACCCATGAAATGAGTCTTTTGTTTCCCCTTTTTGGCAGTTCATACAAGCAATACTTAGTGCCATCAGTTTGTATGAGCAAAGCCCTGATGGTGATATGATCCAAGCAGCTCATTTTTTCTCACTCCATTTTAAGCCCTTCAGAAGTTCAATGTTTCCCGAAGGTCTATCTTTGGTTTCCCTGTATTTCACCCACAAGGAAAATTCTGGGATAGTAGATGACTTTTGTCTGTACTTTCACATTATATCCCTTTCTATTTTTAATGCTATGTTACGGACAGTATGCTTACTGTGTGGGTTCACTTGCTCGGGAACATTACAATTTCTGTTGTTTCTTCTAGGTAGAGAACAGACCCAAATATTATGGAAGAGAGTAAGTAACGTGCATCTCTGAAAGTGGTTTATCCGGATGTGTTGGTTGATAACATTTACAGAAAAGGCTGCAAGCGTTTGCTCTGAGCCCTTTGTTTCTTCTGTGTGTTTTACAACAGTTCGTCTTACCATCAGATTATTATTGCAGTGCCATCACTTTTGTCTGCCTAAAATTACAGCTGCATTTTCTGATGGATATGGATATCATCGAGTGCTACCTTAAGTGAGAAAAATGTATGTTTATGTACTTTCGAAGGGGTATCTCTTTCTACCCCCACCTCCAGTTGGCTTTTGCAAAAGATGTTTCTGTGCAGGAAAAAAAAGTTTTGCATCACAAATGCAATATAAGTGTACAGTATATATATGAGTTCTATTTCAGACGGCTGAGGCAAAGGTGGTTAGGTTTAGTGTGGGGAAACAAAGCAGATCTTATTTGTGTTTATGTTGGTAAAAGATATGTAGTATTGCTAGGTTATCGCACCAGTAATTACTGAGATTACATGCAATCCCCAAGATTTTAGCAAATTGCCATAATATCCCTAAATGCTACAAAATGTTGGATTGCATGCCACTGGCACAAAACATGTGAAGCCAACAGGAGAAAATGGATTTATTTCTACATATTAAATTGATAGATGCAGATTTAAAAAGCAATATACTTGTTTCATAGATGTTGTTTCACAGAAGCCTTTCTAAACCATTTAAAGTGACTTTAAATGCAGGCAGAAAGGGAGATTAATTTAGGCTGTAGATTCCTGCAAATCAGTCATCTTTATGTTTGTGGGGTTTTTTAAATTATCTTGGTTGGTGGTTTTTAAAAGAAGAAGAAAAGGTGGTTTAAAAGTAAAAAGGCGTGTTTCAAAAAGTCTTTGTTCTTTAGATTCCATGGGATGATCTCAAGGGAGGAAGCTGACCAATTATTAAGTGTTGCAGAGGGAAGCTATCTCATTCGTGAAAGCCAACGGCAGCCTGGAACCTACACTTTGGCATTAAGGTTGGTAATTAATATTTCATTTTTAAATTTATAAAATATTCAAAAGATGGTACTGTGTTGTTGACCTTAGCAGTTAAACTTCCTTGTGGTTGTTTTAATCATGGTCAGCATTTAATGAGCTGGTACTTTGTTACCCTAGTTACAAATTTGGTATCTTTAACCTTCCCTAATCCTTTCTGAAGTGCTAACGTTCCTTATTGTTTGCACCACCAGGATAATAGCAATTGTGTTTTTGCTGGTGATGCTTCTTCCTTTTGCTCTTCTCTCACTATGTTACAGATGTGACCCCATGTAGATCTTGGGAGAGCTGGCAGTCAAGAAATAAAAGGCATCTTACCAGTTCATGTGACTAGTCTACTGTGTGGGTTACTTTCTAGCTAGCAAGGGGCTGCTGAAGAGCAATTCTCTCTAGTCCTTCTGTGGGATGGCCAATAAATCAGGAGGTTTTTTTTGTCTGAACACCTGTTAGCTAACGATGTTTGCAGATCTGTTTCCTCGCTCTGCAAAATTCTGATAAGTGGATCAGGTGTAAATAAAAAAACGAAATAAAAACTTAAATAACAAAATAACTTAAATAGTTGTAAGTTTTAAATAGTTTGATGACTTCTAAGGTAATGGAGGTTATTTTGGCCTGGGCCGTACACCTGAGTACTCAGATGGAAGATGGTGATTATTACCAAAGTTTTAAATCTAAGCTGGACAGAAAAACAGTGAAGGAGAAGATGCAGTTACTGAAGTTTTTATATGAGTAAAATAAGGTTATGGTTAAAATAAGAATATCATGAAATAATAGGTTGTGATGAATTAGTTCTCTTTTTCGTGGGGAAAGCAAAAGCTATGTTTTACTGAGAGATTTGTTTCAGTAGTAATAAGATTCTAAATAGAAACATTATTGACGTTTACACTGGTGTGCTTTAACAGCGTAAATAAATTGGTGTTGCTTATTAGAGTGTAGTACTGCATTTCATCTACTTCTGCTCTTGCAATATTCACTTAAAGCTAAAAAGAAAACAATCATCTTAACACCTGGCTTGAAGACAAAGAACTCTTGCCCTTTGGTTCTGATGGTGCAGAGGCACAGGGCCTATAGGCTATGGATGATGAAGCTGCTGTGCATCTTGCAGGGTGTATTGATACAGCTTGTTTTACAAATGCTCCTCCAGTCCAGCAAGTCAAAAGATGAGTCTTCTAGGTTTGGTGATATCTCTTTCAAACTGGAAAACCTCTTTGAAAGCAATAAAACTTATTTTTATACCAGATAGAAAAGAGAACGGATAGCTGTTGGTGGTCAATTTGGGAAACAGTTTCAAATGATAGCAAAGCTGTTATCATTATTTTATTTTGAGGAAATTCAGCGTTTGGCAAAACACCTCAGAATCTAAAACTGCAGCATGTTGCAGCCATTTCATTATGTTGAAGCACTAGCTGGATGCCTTGGGTATCTCTTGTCTTGCTGTTGGCTTTTAAAGTATATGAGTGAGGGTCTTTGCTCTCATACCTTAGGTGAAAGTTCTCTGCGAACTGCAGCACTCCCACACGTGGGAGTTTTACCACTAGGATTTCTTTTTCTCTCTACTAGAAGTGTAGCAGCAGTGTGCATTTCCATTGACTGGAGGCAGAGTTTTGCTTATTTGCCATTTTTCTTCTCCCTGGAATTATATATGCAGAATATACCCGTTATGCAATATTCCCACTGAGTATGTTGCTGACATTGTAACATCTCTTAAAGACTATGTAATTTCTGTGGTCTGTCTGTTCATCCTGACTGTGACAAGTTTGCTGTGATTGCTATGCTGAGTTTATATGATTTTACCTGTAAATTATTAGCGTTTTTGAGACCATTATTTGTGTTTGTGTCACTACGCTGCCAGACAGTAAAGGTAGCTGTATCTGCAGCTTAGATAATACCAGTAGAAATTTCAGACTGTCATCTCCATGGCCAGAAACAGAGCTTGTCAGTAGGGTGGTACGTATGGGCAAAACCTTTCCAACTTCAATGGAAGACTTTGACTTCAGGGTCTCCAATTTCACCCTTTCTTTTCTAGCTGAGTGAATCCATTTGATCTGTTCATACTAGGCTTAAATGCCACTCTGTCATTCAAGCAGTCATGTTAATTTTAAGATCACTTCTGTATGATTTTTGCCTTTCCTTCTTTACCTTTGTTTTACCTTTAGAAGGTATGGGAGTAAAGAAAACTTGGTCAGCTGTTAGTTTTATATGAAGAAAGAGACACAGAGCAGATTTCACATCGTTTTACAAAGTTAACCCAGCAATGCTGAAGAGGTGCTCTAATCCCGCAATAAATAATATAATGACAAAACATGAAGTGGAATATCCGTGTTTCCTGATTGTTTTTCAGACATGCTTTGTTAAACGAATGGCAAATGTTGAGTAAAGTGTAGCTGCATGAGGGTACCCATTGACTCTTGACATAAATACTTGGTTCCCTCTATATGTCTGTGTATCTAATTAATCTCTCTCACTGTGTATGTTTGTTGCCTGACTTGTCTGTCTTTGACAGTCTGTCAATTGTGATTAGGACAAATTGGAAACTTCCAGTGAAGTGTGATTGAAGCATAAAAATCCCAGTTCATCAAGACCTAGATGTCTTGTGGAAGCATTGGGTAGGATCAGCTGCTGTTGAGCCTGAGACAGGGTTGTTTTCTGGCTCGTAGTTACTGGTTATTCTGCTGGGAGACAGGCAATTCAGTCATACAGACAGCTCAGCACTCCCAGCTCTGGCAGATGCCTTCTTCCTGCATTTGTGTCAGCGTGCCTGGGAATCCTGAAAAACCCAGTGCATCCAGTCGTGGAGAACAATTTAGTGAAACAGGATCGTGACCCTTTCTGTGGCAAGGTATGATGTCTCTGTAATGAAATATTTCCAGTCTTTGTTTTTGTCATGGAAAAAAGAAAAAGCTTTTTGTGTTTTGTCCTGAGGACCCAAACCAGCCAACTCCTCAAATCATCATGGAACAATTTGAATACTGCGTTTGATTCACCAGCTATTGCAGCTGATGTCTAAAATGTCGATGGTGTGTTCATACCAGCCATTCATGAAGTTTTGAATTTAGTTCCAATTGTAGTTCTTGTTTGGTCTAGTGTTTTGGTTTGATGTTACTAAATTAAGTGAAGGCATCGCGTCCTTGGAATTCAAAAAGGAAGATATCCTAGTGTTGTTTGATTTATTTATTTTATATTACAGTTTATTTAATGAACTTCAACATCTGCTTTGTTGGCAAAGTTTCTAACATAGTTAAATAAGAAGTTAGGAAAAACACTAAAAAAAAAAGTTTGGCTACAGGCGAGGTGAGAGAGAAAGGTAGAACTCAGAATCCTTATTATGGCTGTCCGAACATTGTATTTGGGAATGCATCATCCTGTATGCTACAAGTCTGATAGAGATTAATGAACCCTCGCTCCACTTTGTAAAATGAGTATTTATCATCTTCTGGAATTATTAAAGATCACCTCACAGAGGGATATATTATAGGGGAAAACCAACCACATTCTCTGTTGTCCTGTCTCTATCCTCATTGCTTATTCCCTTCTAGACTGTATTTATAGTGGGTATCTTCCAGAGATACTCAGATTGTCTTTACTCTGCACTGAAGATTTCCACTTGTTAAACAACTTAATCTTTCTAGAAGGTAAAGAATAAACCGTTAACCACAAATCATAACTCCTTTATAGGCAGACAGAATTCACAGTTATAAAAGCATGTTTTCGTGAAATCTGGAACAGATTGGACAATCACACTAAGCTACAGCCTTCAGCTACAGCCAAAATGCACAGAATGCAAATGCAGTTGGTGCATGAAGGTTCTTTTGTGGACCGTTCTAACGTGGCTCTTCTGCATCTTGATTCTTTTTAGTTTATTCTAAGGGATGCCTTAAGTCATCATCAAACAGGCAGGTCTGGGAAGAGATCTGGGTAGTTGTTTGCAAAGAGTTTCTCCCCAGTTATATATCTCTGTTATTGTATGAGCAAGTTCTCTGACTGAACGTACTGGGTCAGATCAAAGGACCTGTTTGTAGGCCAGTCCCGTATTCACTCTTCGGTAACTATTAATAGCAGACATTCAAAGAAAAGTGTAAGAACAAGATGAACACGTAGTAGTTCTCTGGTGTGCTCTCCCAACCTCTGAAAATTTGCTATTCATGGACTTTTGAGCAGAGTTATTACCTCTGCTGTTTTTTCAGGCTTTTGATGGTGAGATTTTTGATTTTTTTTCTAGTGGCTTTCAGAGCACATTTTTGAACCCTTGTAGACTTTGATGTCTGCAACTGTAGCATGAGTTCAATGCCTTAACTAAGTTTTATGGGAAGCAGCATCTCTTTTTTCAAGAGTCCATCTTGCAATTTTATTGGATACTGCCTAGTTTTTGTATTATGAGAAGCAGTGAACAATTTATCTCCATTTATCTTTTCCATGCTGCTCACATCTCCCTTATTGTTCTCTTTACAGGCTGATGAGTCCTAAGCTATACATTCAGGTTTTGTAGTGAAGCTGTTCTGTACCCTCATCGTCTCTGCCATGTTTCTCTGTGCCTTTCTTTTAATCTGTGGTGAGGTTTTGGAGATGAGGGGACCAGGACTGCACATCCTATTCAGGATGAAGTGGGTCATGGAATTTTCTTTGCTCTCTAAACCTTTCCAAATGAATTTTTGAGCACTGTGGAAATTAAGCTCTGATGCTTTTCTAGAACTAGCTTTAGTGAATCTGAAGATCTTGTTCCTGAGCTGCAATAACTACAGACCTAGCCTAGCACTGATTAGATGGCCAAATATAGGGCAGGACAAATAATAGCTTTTGTAGCCTTAACCAAGGCAGTCAAATATTCTTGGTGTAATACTGTGGAACAGTTAACTGAGCTCAAAGTTAAGATTTTGAATATTTCTTCTTCTTTAATAAGTTAGGAAAAGTGATTCTTACCTAAAAAAACCTTTTCAGTTATTAAGGTTGCCGGTGAGTTGCTGTAAAATCTGCTTTCTGCTTA